AGTCCGCTCGGTTGAGCGGGCAAGATTATATACAATCATGTGTTTGTTTGATCAAATTGACTGAAGCTTAAGCCGGAATATTAATAATTAAGAATAAACCGTTATTGTTGATTACTAATATTTATAAAATGAGCAAATTTCTGTTACACGTAATATTTTAGATTCTATTTGAACCTGAAATATCTGCTAGACTCCTGGAAAGGTGGCATCAATACTGGACCTGAAAGGGCCTAACAAGTTGAATCTGGTAAAGAAACACACGCGCACACACACACTTACACAGAGAGAACTGTTAGCTTATGGATATTTTTTTACACTGTGGCCAATATTTTGGGGAAGTCAGCATCACTAAATGATTTAAAAGATTAAGCTCCTCTAAATTTTGCTCCAAGTGTTAAATTGAGGATTCTGGACAGACAGCTGCCTGTTTTTCCAATTCTAGTCATAGTGGTTAACCCAATTATTTTTTAAGATTCCAACAGATATACATTATATTTAAAAAAATAAAATTATACATACACACAAAAAAAAAAAATTATATATATATATATATATATATATTTTTTTTTTTTTTTTTTTTTTTTTTCTCTTCTTCAAACATTTTTCTTAGTCATGCTGGAGTTTTGAAGAGTTCTTAGATGAGTATCACCCTATATCCGTGCATCAGGAACCACCAGACGAGCACTTTGTTTCTGCCATAGAAACTTTCATCCAAACAAGTCCACTTCCCTTTTATTAAATCCCGGAAAAACACAACCCTAGCTAAAAGGAAAGTATATGAGCCTGAATGACAACTGAACCATCTTTATTGTTTTTTTTCATAACTCAAGTAACATCTCAGACTATGTGTTTAAAAAAAAGAAAAAAAAAAAAATCAGTACCTTAAATACCAACATATTAAACATAACTTTTTCCCCTCAGTGCATACATGCACACTATATAAATTTAGTTATGTAAATTTATTTTAATCAGCCACATTTGCCTGAGCCAATCGGCTACCAAATAGATCTCTGAGGTTTACTTCAGGATCAATGTGATGGGGGATTTTGCGCTCATTAAACAAACCAGTCAGATCAGCTTCCAGTTTGGCTCTCTGATTGAGGTTCATGCGCAAAGAAAAAAGAGCATGGAGGTCTTCAACCAGAGGACGTCGATTTCGTCCTTCCAAACGTTTCTGCCAACTCTTGCTGCTTCGCTTATGGGGGTGCTTAAGAGGAAGAAAAAAAAAAAAAAAAAAAGTATTAAACTAGAAGCATAAACAAAAGGACCATTGCAGCACAAATTTTACAATAGGAACATTGTTTTACATTATTTTGAAGATGCTGCTGACAAATTACCACAACTACTGCTTCAGATTTTAACCCAAAATACTCCTTTTAAAAAGGGACTGAACTACCTTGAGTTTGGCCACATCAGGTTCATGATGTAACATGTGGCGTACAAGGCTTTCCTGAGGAACCAGCAAAAGGTAGAAGTACATAAATTAACTGCAGGTACACTGTATAATTTTACCTTGCACAAGATGTTAACCCTACCATTTTAGGACACATTTTGTCCCTTAAAATGTACTTACACGCATAGCAAAAGTCTTACTGCAGCCAGGGAAGGAGCAGCAGTGTGAGAGCAGCTGCAGGTGAACCTTGCGAATATGATGCTGCAGGTTGAAGGTTGTGGAAAAGTATGCCTGACAACCCTGACTAGGGCATAGTAAAACAGGCTTCTGCAACGCATGTGTCCGCTTGTGTCTCCTCAAAGCATCACGTTTCCGAAAAGCCTTTTTACATACCATACAGGAGAATGATACTGTTGAAAAAAATTAAGGATCTTTCAGAAACCAATATGGCCATTAAAAGCATGCAACTCCCAGTGAGTTCATATGCAATAACTAAATGGTAGCACCAGTTTACCTGGGTGACTTGCCATGTGTTTGATTAAACTCCCCCAGGTGTGTACAGTGATGGGGCATTCTGTGCGAAGACACCGATAACCTAAGACAAAAAATAAATAAATAAATATAGATATCCATAATCTGGTTTTATCATTGCTCTGACTAGCTTTTATTAGTTTATTTATTTATTTTATTATTTAAATAGTGGGCGGGCAGTAACCTGGCATAAAAAAAAGGGGGGTTACAAATTTGTGTTGACAAAGTTTAATGTGGTCAGTCATGTGTGAACAGTATTAAGATTCTAGCCCAGTATTCCACCTACTGGACTTTAAATGAACAAAACCCAGTTCAACCTCGAAGTTGAGTCAAAACATGACCATAACTGATCAATTTCGCAATATTCTGCAAAATATGAGTTTCATTTACTTAGGCTGCATTGTTTACATGCCTTCAACAAAGATGATTTATAGCAATTTAAAACCTATATTCAGACCACTTAAGTGCATTTTTTTGTCTTGATCTTTTTTCAGTGCTTAATCAGGCAAAAATAAATGAATGCAGCATATAAAAATGGCTGATCTGGCTTTAGATAATGGCAGTAAATGTCAGAAAATTACAAAACTAATAAACCCTCACCTAAATGTCTCCGATCATGAGCATTCCGTGCAATGTGAGAGTCAAATTTCTTTCCACAGTTGTTTTTTGAGCATCTTGTGAAACAAACAGAAGTCAGGATTTTTTTTCTTTACATTTAATGGTCAATTCTTATGACAGGCAATTTTAGGCTGAATACAATACCTGAAACTTGAAGTACCATGAGTTGCTAGGTGCAGTTTTAATGCACGTCGTTTCCTGAATGCCTTAGAGCACTGGGGTTCTGTACACTGAAAAGTAAAAAACATTTATGACAAAGCAAAGATACTCGAAGAGTGAAAAGTGACAGACAGAAAACAAATGTGGCTGTGGTAAAGAGAAAACCTGAAATTAACCTTGAAATATTCTTCATTTTCACTGTGCACATAACGCACATGTCTCTTAAGTTTATCAGCAGCTTGGAATTTTTTGCCACATGCAGTGATATTACACCTGCTCAAAAACAAAGGGTTTCAAATGTCAAAAACAAAAAAGGCACTTGTTGCAGCTTTACTACAAATAAACATTTAGTAACCTACAGCTATAGCGCTCAGCTGTAATTTTATTAGAAAATTTACCAAAGTTGCCAAAAAGGTAAAGTAAATGCACAATGTACATAGTGATAAACAATTTAAAGTGATAACTGCCAATTATAAATTACTTGAAGTGTTTCACTCCACTGTGTGCTGAAGTATGGCGATTCAGATGCGATTTACGAGTGAAACTGCGTCCACATCCCACAACACCACACTTGTAAGGTCGCTGAAGGGAACGCGCGCACGCACACGCACACGCACACACACAGAGAGAGAGAGAGAGAGAGAGAGCGCGTACTCAATGCAGCAAAAGAAAATACAACATCTGACATAAGACAACATCTTTAAAGAAATATTTCAAATGACAGCATTTAAGCAACGATGTATTACTTACCACACCAGTGTGCACGGTCTCGTGCTCTTGCAAACGCCATTGACGAGTAAATGTAGCTCCACATTCAGCATAAACGCAGTTGAACAGCTGCACTCGCGGTACAACGTCTTCTCTCTTCATTACCTCAGTGTTCATTATTTTAACAAAACGGTCTACGTTCGTTTCTATAATTACTTTTACAATAGCTTTTTCTGTAACATTCTTTTTTTCTCTCTCTCTTTCTCTCTCTCTTTTTAAGCAATAATTCCAGTCTCCGGCCGCATTGGGATTCCCTTTATAAGCTACAGTCACCTGCAAAGGGTTGTGTTAATGATGCTGGATAATTAGGTAAACTATGAGCGCGTCTTTGTGCTATTCTTGCACTAGCCCCCTCCCCTCCAAAATTAACCAAAAACACCATTCGGTTCAAAAACACCTGACAAAAGTTTGTTTAATCAACCTCCTCAAGCTAACCGAGCATTAATGAGCGCACGGCACAAATCTATAAGCGAATTAGGAAAAAAAAAGAAGTTAACAAAAAATGTAAGAGAAAAAAATGAAAAATAATAATCAACATTAACCTTTAAAGTTAACATTAAGGTAAGCTCTGGTCTTCACAAAGTCATTATGACTAAGTTATCTTTTTTGGCTAAATTTGTTAACTGTAAGTTAATTAACCTAATTCACAATGAAACAAGTCTTAACTGTTTTAATAGAGCTGATAAAAAATTCAGTTGAATTCTTTTTAGCTACCCAGCAAGCATTTTTTGGTCTAAAAGACGTCTATTAGATGTCTAAACATAGCAATCACGGCTAAATTTGGGCTGTCAGTGAAAATCTAATAGACGTCTAAGCATAGCCCAAGTTTAGACTAGACGTGATTTAGACGGCTACATATATACATCTAATAGCCGGTGAAATTTGGTCTAGGCTAAATCACGGCTAAATTTGGGCTGTCAGTGAAAATTTAATAGACGTCTAACCGTAGCCCAAGATTAGCCTAGACGCGATTTGGATGGCTAATAGACGTCTACATATATACGTCTAATAGACGGTGAATTTTGGTCTAGGCTAAATCACGGCTAAATTAGGGCTGTCAATGAAAATCTAATAGACGTCTAAGTATAGCCCAAGTTTAGACTAGTCATTTATTAGTCTGCTACTGAGCGACTAGATGTCTAATAGACAGTGAATCTGGGTCTTGGCTAAACTGGGCTGCCAGTGGCAATTAAAAAGAAGTTTACCCACAGACCATAAAAAAAAACTAATCATCAGTTTATTAACTAATAAATGACTATAGCCTTCATTTAATAGACAACAAAACACAAATACTTAATTAACAGGATATCGTAAATGGCAAATTTAAACTGATTAAATAAAGATTTTATTAATAGAAGCAACATTAACAATAAGTAAACATTGAACAGCTAACATTGAAATGTCAGTCACAATAGAAAACATTAAATGCGGTAAAAAAAAAGGAAATAAATAAATTCAAAAAGGAAAATGAACCAATTATTTTACTAAATTATTTTTTTCCTGTATCCACCCCCCCCAACCCCCCCCAACTCTCCCTGGTGCCTGTTTAAAATGCTCCCCGATTGCATTTTTTATTTCAAATTCTGTAGCTTTTGGGAAGATGGTCATCTCTGCATCTGCCAAAAAAAAAAAACACACCAAGTTTTATTTACATTAATTGTGACAGTGTCCATTCACTTAAGCTTTGATGCAAAGAGTTAGGCAATACATAGTATTAAAACAGAGATATTAAAGCAATATGTCCAATGACTATAATTTATATCAATATAGCTTGATATAAAACAAATTGAATCACTTTTTCTTTTTTTTAAATCACCATTAAACAGAAATAAGCTCTCGTGAGAATAGTTGCATGCAAACACACATGGACCTACCTGCAATCACTGAGAACAGTGTGGTTGCCTGAAATGCTGTCTTCTGCAGCAAACCAACCCCCTTCATGTTGAAACAAGACATTAGGGAATTTTACAAAACCCTAAAACATATTACAAATATGTTTAACAATACAGGACAAATAACATTATAAAATAAGTAAAATACATTTTTCCACCCATGATGTGTTGTGGCCGCATGCAAGACTTCAGTATTGAAATTACAATGTATCAGTAATGTTGTATGTTTAGTGGGCTTTACCTGTCCAGCATTTTCCTCGCACAGTCCTTCACATTTTTCCCACCAATTTTGCACATCTGTGAAACCTGAATTAAACAAAAAAATTAAAATAAAGTGTCAGGCAGCTAGTGTTATATTCTTAAGTGTACAAGTGTTTCCCAACCCTAAATGTTTATTGCCCATTCATTATTTTGTTGGTCAACTTCACAATACTAACCACATAAAAATATATATATTTAAAAAAAAATAAATAAATCAATTTACAGCAGATTGTAGGCTCGGACTATCACATTTAAAAAACATCCTATTTTCCTAGAGTGCTTTCCACAATCTCTCTCTGACTCCAAACTTGTTTAGAACAACTGAATTAACAGTAATATCTATTTTAACTAAAAAGCAGCCTGGTACCTCATTTTAACTTTATCTACTTAGACAATCATTCACTTTTCTTATAACTTATTGCATTCTGTTTGTACAATTTAAGTTTTAATGTGGCACTGCTACTATCTGTACAAGTTTAACACATCCAGACACTATTGTCAATTGCTATTTGTATACTGAAATCTTTTATTTTTTAATTGTACTGTACTTGTTTAATGAGTAAAATATTTTACTGTATTTTATCATTCCATATTATGAATTAATGTACTTTATCAAATGTGTGAGCTTAAGTAAGAAAATTTTGTTTTGGAGGTGTTTTTCTTACCATTGCTCTTCACATCTCCACACTTTTCAGCTGCCTTTCCAAATTCTCAAATGCCTCCATAGGCAGACAGTTGTAAAACAGTATCTGGTTCCACCTTTTGGCCGATTCTTCTCACGTCCTCCCTTAACTGTATAAGCAAAGTTAACACCTTCCTTTGGAATTCTTAAAGCAATAAAAAGGCATTGTTAATTTCAAATACAATAAAATGTTATATCATAACATAGATGCATAATGTTGCAAAAAGTTAAAATGACAAAATGAGCACAAATTTAATAATCGGTTGTAGATAACCAGCAAGTTTAATCCAGCAGATGAAATATAATGTAGAGAATGTTTGTTTAGTCGCACAATAATGACTAAAAAACCCTAACATTTTTAAATCATTGTTATATGACTACTTTTTTGAGGCATTTGGAATGTTCCACCAATATCCGAAAAAAAATAATTAAGAGATCACATGTAAAAGAGGAGTAACGTAAAAAAAAAAAAAAAAAAAAAAAAAAAAAACAGGTATCTCCTAACAAATTAGGGCATTGTAGCCCTTTTTAACAGAGTAAACATTGATACTGGAGATTCCATGTTTTTGTTTGTGACAAATTGCTGCAGAGTATACATGTTTCCCATTAACAACCAAAAAAAAGCAAATGAGACACGTCCTGCTGTAGTTTTAGACCACTGAATTAAGCCTACATTTATATGAATCTTTTTGGATGTCCAATTTATCACAGATTACCACATTGTGACAGAAAAAGTGAGCAAGATTTCATTTTAAAATAATACTTTTTGACTGAGCTTTAAGTTGAATTACATTTCCATACCAACCTTTTTGACTCCTGCCCTGTGGAGTTCGGGCAGCCTAGTGCAGAGTCCAAGCAGCTGCAATAAAGACATATGAATACATTATTATTATTTACAATACTCTTATCGACAACTGAAATCTCAGACAAAATACATGCTGACCTATTTGACTTCTGCCTCTAGGAGTACGGGGAGACTGGCGTGGTGACCCAGCAGCTGCAATAAAGACATGAATAATAAATCATTACTATTATTAACAACAATACTCTTATCAACATCTGTATTCTCAGAGAGCATACATCTATGCTGACCTATTTGATTTCTGCCTCTAGGTGTATGGGGAGACTGGCGTGGTGACCTAGCAGCTGCAATAAAGACATGAATAATATATCATTACTATTATTAACAACAATACTCTTATCAACATCTGTAATCTCAGAGAGCATACATCTATGCTGACCTATTTGACTTCTGCCTCTAGGAGTATGTGGAGACTGGCGTGGTGACCTAGCAGCTGCAATAAAGACATGAATAATATATCATTACTATTATTAATAACAATACTCTTATCAACATCTGTAATCTCAGAGAGCATACATCTATGATGACCTATTTGACTTCTGCTTGTAGGAGTACGGGGAGACTGGCGTGGTGACCCAGCAGCTGCAATAAAGACATGAATAATAAATCATTACTATTATTAACAACAATACTCTTATCAACATCTGTAATCTCAGAGAGCATACATCTATGCTGACCTATTTGACTTCTGCCTCTAGGTGTACAGGGAGACTGGCGTGGTGACCTAGCAGCTGCAATAAAGACATGAATAATATATCATTACTATTATTAACAACAATACTCTTATCAACATCTGTAATCTCAGAGAGCATACATCTATGCTGACCTATTTGACATCTGCCTCTAGGAGTACGGGGAGACTGGCGTGGTGACCTAGCAGCTACAATAAAGACATGAATCATATATCATTACTATTATTAACAACAATACTCTTATCAACATCTGTAATCTCAGAGAGCAAACATCTATGCTGACCTATTTGACTTCTGCCTCTAGGAGTACGGGGAGACTGGCGTGGTGACTTAGCAGCTGCAATAAAGACATGAATAATATATCATCATTATTATTATTAACAACAACAACAACAACACTCTCATCAAAACCTGTAATCTCAGAGAACATCTATGCTCTCCTTTTTGGATTCTGCCCTGTGAAGTTCAGGAAGCCTGGTGCAGAGTCCCAGCAGCTGCAATGAAAACAAATGAATATATTATTATTATTATTATTAATAATAATAATACTCTCATCAACATCTGAAATCTCAGAAAACAAACATCTATGCTAACCTGTTTGACTTTTGCCCCAATGACTGCGTGAAGCCTGGTGCAGTGTCCCAGCAGCTGCAATGAAAACATATGAATATATTATTATTTACAATACTCACATCAACATCTGTAATCTCAGAAAACATACATCTACGCTAACCTTATTGACATCTGCCTCGAGGAGTTCGAGCAGCCTGGTGCAAAGTCCCAGCAGCTGCAACAAAGACATAAAAATATAATATTATTATTATTTACAATACTCTCATCAACATCTGAAATCTCAGACAAAATGCACCTATGCTGCAACGTTTTGGACTTCTGCTCTGTGGAGTCTCAGCAAACTGGTGCAGAGTGCCAGAAGCTGCAATGATATTGGAACATACTATTTTACCAACAAAACAATTCTGTGGTATGCTGTTAGTCTTAATGCATTTGCTCGAGTTGGGGTTTACCTGGGGTTGAAGTGAGCAGGGGGAGGTCTAAAAAACAACTCCTGGATGTTTGCTTTGTCTCTGCAAATGACAAATTTGGATAAAAAAAGAACTAAAGATCAGTAACCAACAGATCTGCATTGAATTAACGATCAAAAAATGACTGTAGTTAGTAATAACTACTGCTTTACTCATTTCTGAAGTGAAAGCAGTATGCCTCAGCAGGAACAAAGGTATTTGCACAAAAACTGAAATAATTGGTAACGATTTCTTTTACAACCCGCAAAGTACCGCGTAAGTACAGTGAAATTACAGTGTACTTTTCTGTATGTACTGTGTAAGTATAATGAACGTATGTATAGGTATAAGGGAACAAACCGTAATACTTGGGTAAATAGGGGGTAACGGCCAGATGTTCATCACGAAAATTACCGCGTAAGTACAGTGAGATAACGGTGTACTTTTCTGTACGTATAGTGTATAAATAACGTTTACGTAGGTTTAAGGGAACAAACTGTAATGCTTGGGTAATAAGGGGGTAACAACCAGATATTCAGCATGAAAAGTACCGCGTAAGTACAGTGAAATAACGGTGTACTTTTCTTTAAATTGCAAAAGAACAAACCATAATGTTTGCGTAATAGGGGAGTAACAATAAGATATTCCTCACGCAAAGAAGTATATTACGTTTAAGATGTACTTTTCTTCAAGTATTGTATACATATAGGGAATTATGCAAGGATGGTGACAACCTATTGCTATCAGCAAATGTACTGTAAGTAGTAATTATGATAGGGTACCTGTCAAAAAGTTTGATGGATTGTAGCCCCGCCCCTAAGGCGGGACTTCCGGTCTAAGCCCCACCCCTTTTATATAAACTTTATAGTTCCGGTAATTAGATTCTTATCGGTTGTAATGGAAATTCATTTTTAGATGATCTTTATATGTTAGAAACTTGTCTAAGACTCATTATTACATGTGTGTGTATCTGTGTTCTCCATATGTTCATCATAAAACCTATGTGTACATTTTTATAGATAACTATATTTCTTTAGGTGAAAGCTTTTTCATTATCCTAAGAAGGATGTGTGGTTGTTATGAGCATACCGCACAAACAGCAGAAGACGCCTGACGTAATTGTAGATGAGGCCTTATTGGGAGTTGACCTCGTAAGCAGTACAAACTAGATAAAAAGGTGAACACACTTTGCTTTAGTATCTCACTCTGCAGAAACTGTTGTTGCTGTATGACTGTGATCTTCTTTATAAAGAATAAAACTTGTAAAAGACATCCCGGGTAAGACTTTGTTTCTTGACCACTGAGAGAGCCTCCTTAGAGAAAATAGCCACTACACGGTTTAATATAAAATAATAATTCCGGTAATTAGATTCTTATCAGACTAATTAAATTATTGATTCCGGTAATTAGATTTTTATCAGACTGAAATAAAATTATTATTATTATAATAATATCGGTAATTAAATTAATGTTATTAGAACCATTATTTTATATTTTTAGGTATTTGACTAAATTATTATATTATATTATATTATATTATATTATATTATATTATATTATATTATATTATATTATATTATATTATATATATAAGTTATATGAAATTTATATTTTATTAAATAAAATTATGTATTGTATTATATTATATCATATTAAGTTATATTAAATCATTGTTTTATTAACTTATATTACAATTATAACATATTATATAATATTATTATATTATATTATTATAATATTTATATTTATATTAAATTTAATTATATTATATATCATTATTATTCTATTCTATTCTATTATATTATATTATATTATATTATATTATATTATATTATATTATATTATATTATAATTAATAAACTATTAACATAAAAATTTCTTTATGTTCATACCGATGTTTCCTCTGTGTGTCAGTCTGGGCCTGAGCGTGTGAGTGATGATAAGGAAAACTTTGGATAACATCCTGTCAACTGCTTGTGAAAGATAGATTTATATCAGATGTAGAATATGTATATCTGATTGTATGTGGTGGGTGTCTCCCACTAAATACTATATGTTGTTAGGTGATTAGAAAATGTTTTGATATCTATATATCCACATCCAGTCAACTGTATGCATATGTATGTGTGTGTGTGTGTGTGTGTGTGTGTGTGTGTGTGTGTGTGTGTCTGTGTGTGTGTCTGTGTGTGTGTGTGTGTGTGTGTGTGTGTCTGTGTGTGTGTGTGTGTGTGTGTGTGTGTGTGTGTGTGTGTGTGTGTGTGTGTCTGTGTGTGTGTGTGTGTGTGTGTGTGTGTGTGTGTGTGTGTGTGTGTGTGTGTGTGTGTGTGTGTGTGTGTTTGTGTGTCTGTGTCTGTGTGTACGTGTGCGCGCGCTCGAGCGAACTTGGGTCTGGCTTTGTATGTTTGAATAGATGACACAGTATTTACTAAATATGTTCATTAATAGGTTATGTTGTTTTTTACATTATTACTACATTAATACATATTTAAAGACACACAAACATTTTGATGTATCTTTGTTGGACTATTAAATTTAAATTTGTTTACAATATTAATCCAGTAAATAACAAATCTTAATCTGTATTAACAATAAATTGTCACACCTTTTAAAACAACGTTATCTAAAATGTAATGTTCTAAACTGTTGGTTGAAAAACACAGATGTAAATTCAAGTTGTCTTTATAATTAATGAAAACTTTTATTATGAAAAACAATTTAAAATGAAAGTTTTTCCTTTGACTAACATGTTTTCAATTTATTTACATGCATGACCTGTAATTTATGGCACACATTGTAAAACAGTTAATCCAAAGCCTAATGTTTTGAGCACTGGTCATCACTGGTGTTGGTTTAAAAAATCAACATAAAATATTTACTAAAAAGGACTTATCAGTCTTTAGACATTATTGTTATTTCTGTTTCAAAAGATAAATAAAATGTAATTTTATTACAATAAATTGTAGTTATTGCATTACTAGACAACTTAGTTACTGAATTTTAAATTCAAACTGTTTTTAATTCATTGCAAATACTTGATCAAATAAAGAGAAATATGTATATTATTCAGAATAATGGAATAACACTGATATTTATTTTAAGAAGAAAAATTGGCTCTCAGTTTATCTAAAAACAGTACAGCTCCAGCCCTTAGTTAAATCTACTTAATGTTTTATACTAAAATTTTCTAGTTTAACTACTGAATCCACCATTTACATGTTCATACAATGGTGTCAAATCTAGTAAGTTTACAAATTTGTCAAAATTAGTCAAGTTTACAAGTAGTTCTTGAAAGTAGACTGATTACTTTTTTACAGGGTAAATGATGCTTTTCTTATACCAATAGACTTAATCAAGATTATTGTCACTACACACAATTTGTTGGGAGTGTTTATGTTTCTTTAAACAATGTTTTTTATTGGCAAACACATTTTTAAATTATCAATCTAAAATCTACCTGAATGTTTTCCACTCTGAATATAAAAACTTTATCTGAGCATTTCACTTGGAAAAGTGATGTTTAAAACACTATTCATTAAACTTACTGCATGACTGGAGCTTTATTTTTACAAACCAATAGCATTGACCTAATTCAAGCTTTTGATTTTCCACTCTGTAGCAGTTTTTCAACACAAAATGTAAACTTTTTTATGCTAAAAATCTGTAATTTTGTGCAACTGTGTTGTATGTTACAAAGCATACTGTCAGTTTTCAAAAGTCACCTAACGTTGTTTCCATTCTTCTGGGTTTTTTTTTTTTTTTTGGAACAACGATGATTCATTTGGGGGGAAAGAAAAAAAGTAATGTCTTGAAATACATTGGTTACACCAATATGGTGTAATGGTTAGAATTTCTGGGTTTCATCCAGACGGCGTGGGCTCAACTCATGATTTGGGGATATATATATATTTTTTTTTTTTTTTGACCTAAAGTGTACCAAGTAACATTTATAACAACACTTTGTTATTTGTGTCATAGTTGAATGCTTTACTCAATACTGTCAACAAAGCACAATAATATCAAAGAGTAAACACATTTTATTTTAAGAATACTTTGCAGTAAACTTTATTGCATGAATAAGTTTATTTTATCTACCTTCTGATACAGAATGTTTTTGAAACATTTAATTATGTTTTTACGACCACGGGTATCTAACCAAAATATTTCACCTAATTCAAGTAACCAGTGCTGTAGTTTTTAAACACAAAATGTCTTTGCTAACTTTTTTTGCATATGTGTTAAAAGTCTAATTTTACACAACTCTCATAGCATCTGTTACGATGCATACAGTAAAAATCACAATAACCATTTCTACTGCCAATTATCTTTTGTTGTCTAATTCTTCACAATATTTTTTTCACGAGAACTATGAATCTACAAAGGCAAGGCAAGGCAAGGCAAGGCAAGACAAGGCAAGTTTATTTCTATAACACATTTTATACATAGTGGCAATTCAAAGTGCTTTACATAAACAGGAACAAAAGAGACATGTTTAAGAAAAATAAAAACAAATAATAAAAAAATATTAAAAATGATAAAAACAGATCAAATGTGTTAAAACAAGTTATAAAAGAATGAAAAGAAGAGAAAAACATAATACTGTGATCCGTCAATAGTGCGATCTG